GCGGGTAATATTGCAGAAGTTTTAGTGGCCTCAGGTTTAGCAAAAGTAGTGGATTGGAGTATTGCTTTAGTTACAGATGGTCCAACAAAATTACGTGCGGCAGAAAAGTATGTTATTTATTAAAGTTATTTTTTTTTTATCCCAATATTTTAAAACTCTTGTTCGAAATTACAGTTCTGCGAAAGAAAAAAAATTGAAAATATGGTGCGATTATATAACTAAAAGCAAGGCCGGTGGTGATGATCATGAGTTTGAAGGAACGGTGGGATATTTTTAATAAATTTTGTAAATTCTTTAGAATCAGTAAATTAAAATTTATTAGTTACAATTTGCTTTTCTAGGTAACGCGTATTATCTCTGGTGATACTCTTTGCGTAAAGGTAAATCGCACTGGTGTTGAAAAGAAATTACAATTATCTAGTATACGACAGCCTAAGTATGTTCGATTAAATGCACATATTCAAAATATATAATAATACAAATATTAATCATCAAATTTTTAATAAATAGGCCAAAGGATCCTAAGTTGCCAGGATATAACTTTGAGGCTAAAGAGTTTCTAAGAAAGGAATTGATAGGAAAAACGGTAAAAAGAAAAAAAAAAAATAGATTTTTCTTTTCTTTTCTTTTATGTTAATTGTTGAAAATTGATTCCTTAGGTTCGCGTAACCATTGATTACCAAAAACCCGCCGTAGAAGGATATGAAGCGAGGGAATGTGCTACTATTAAACTTGGGGATTTGTGAATATAATGTCTATATATATTCTACTTATTATTTTTTCTTACATTTTTTTAACCTTGTGGATTGTTCAATTTTGTAGTAATCCAGCGGAAAAACTTCTAGAAAATGGATTGGCGAATATTATAAGGCACAAAAAAGATGATGATGATCGCTCGAGCTGTTATGATGAACTTTTAGTTGCGGAAAAAAAGTAATATTGTTTTTATTTTACATTTGGTTAAAATTCAAGATTGTAGCTTAGCATTTTATTTTTTTTTTGGTAGAGCACAAACGTACGCTAAGGGAGTTCATAGCACTAAAGAACCACCATTACATAGATTTAATGATGCCTCAGAGGTATATATTTCAAAATACTTTATTATGCATGAAATAGTTTAATAATTCCAAATCATTTATGTAGAGTCCTTCAAAAGCTCGCCAATTCCTTTATTCTTTACAAAAATCTGGCCGTATATCTTGTGTTGTTGACTATGTTTCTAATGGATCAAGATTCAAAATTATAAAATGACTTTTATCATTGGTGGAATTCGCGTACCCAGATTGGGTAAATCTTCCACTGAAAAACCGGAACCATTTGCTGCTGAAGCACTTGAATTTGCAAATCGTAAATTATTACAACGAGATGTTGAGATTGAAGTTGAAAATGTTGATAAGACAGGAGGTTTCATTGGTACTCTCTGGATAAATAAAACAGAAAATTATGCAGCATCATTATTACGAGAAGGATTTGCGAAAACCCACGGTTCATGTTCAAGCGAACTTTCAACGGCTGAAAATGAAGCCAGAGAAGCGAGAAAAA